GAGAAATCAATTCGAGGGGGGGGGGTTGAATTGAATGATCAATTATTGAACCCGGACGCGCAAACACTTGCTTCGCAAGACAAACTCAAGGTATCCCCTAAAGGGCTACCTTTCGTGACCAGGACCTCCCAAGAGGTGTCTATAAATAGCCTCTTAGAGGTTAAGAGGTTGCCAAAAACCACCTGTTGGAAGGTCCTGGTATATGAGGTAGTCTTAGTTCTGCTATGAGGTGCTTGTTCAGAACTGCTCACAGAATTTGAGAATCTATCGCTACTCAGTTCGCTACTCCCGGCACTTTCCTTTGTCATCTTCTCTTACCTTGGGTGGCCGCTCGGCCGTAGAGTAGCTGTATGTAGCTGTCATGGGAAGTGCATAATAATTACTCGGATTCGTGTTGTATTTTTCACTCGAGATACAGTCTCCTGGAATTGATCCTGTCTATCCCTCCCCCATTCTCGCAGCGTCGCAAAATATCACTCCTCAAAGCCAGGCGACTGAATCACCCTCTTCGATATCCTGACAGGTTCCTAAGCATAGGCTCGGCGCAGTTCCATATCCTCGGCATGGCGGCTACAGTGGTCTGGCTGGATCAAGTGTCGACAAATATGTTTGTTCTTAACACATATAAACACCATCGGGTTCAACACTGACCATCACCTTTGGAACATACATTCATGGTCCATGGCAGTGTATTTTCATTTGTTGACAAATGTCCAAATCAACAACGAGTTTACACTCTAACTCACATTCCATGAGTTCGCGGACAGCTAACCCCCCTGGAAGACGATATGTCCCGTCTTGTTTACTGCCTAACATGGGCCGATATGGGCCTGAGACCACCAGTCGTCGCTCTATGTTCCGTATACGATCCACTTCCATGTTCGTCATGGTCTCACCGTTCGAACCTCCCCTGGCTTGGCGCCCTCCCCACCGAGGATCGGGAGACCGCGGTGCTCCAGGCACGCATCGGTGGCATCGATGAATCCTGTGCAGCTTCATAGCACCAACCACCCGTGTCATCCTCATCGTTCAGCTTCCAACCTCCATACTTAAAATAGATGATGCCTTGGCCGCTCACCTCGCCACGTTTTCGCGGGCATGTGGCCACCCAAAAAGACGTGGGCACAACTCGCGCGGCATGTGCGACACAGAGACGGAAAGCGACCTGCTGGAAATGGAAACAAACAAGGCTTAAGAAGGACGAATGTGAGTTGGCGATGGTCCCTAAACTGCAGTGTGAAAGTCTAAAGATTTTGGAGACTGCCTTTCTGGCTTGGCATCGAGGCACTCTTTTCGACTCTCCATCCCGTTCATCCACCAGGTCCAGGTCGTTGCCACATCCCTGCCCCAAAACCCCACACCATCCCACACCCTGCCTGCTTGTACTTGGGCCTTCCTTGGAAAACGCCTTCCTGGAAATAACGTCCATTCATCGAGACTTGTCCAGCGCATCGGACCACCAGGAAGGCTGGCGACTCTGCCGACTCTGCGACTCCCTCGCCATCCTCTCCTGGATGGAGCTTCGGTTTAGCGAAGCGCCGGCGGAGCAACGACGGTTTCCTTCGCTTTCTTTTCGGAGCCCATACTCTAGAGTGATATAGAGACTGGTTTCCCTTTCAAAAACTCGTGTATTTTTCAGACTGATGATACGGAATTATACGTATCAATTTAATGCAAACTGATATAGTTTTAGACATTTTGGGAGATGGGAAAACCATGCATAATGTTTATCCCTTGCTTTGATGGAGGCTTTCCGAAGACTAGACCCTGCATCTTGGTTTCAGGCCAATTCTTTATCTCGTCACCTTCGGCTTCCGTGACCGGAGTCCCATGGGACCAAGAGGTCGAAGCTTATGTTGATCCAACAGTCTCGGACGACGCGGCGAACCAACAGTCTTGGTCCAAGATCGATGAAGTTCGGGTGGCGCTCACCCGCGAAACGGAGCCGAGATCTCTACCTGCCCCTCTGTGTTGAAAGAGTAATAAATACTATAAAGATCTATAAACATACTCAATTGCTGAGACTCATCGTTCTCTTCAGCATCGGTGAATTGGTGCAATTCCCCACTGCAGGTTTAGGATGCATTAAGTAACAAGCGCATTTCTACTATTTAGTAGCGTCCGGACGCAACCCGGACGACACGAACGGGGCGCTGGCATGACTACTAGGAACAAGAAGCTACTAGTAACAAGGGCATCAACTTCCATGGAGTTTTTCAATCCAGCTCTCCGGCTCTCCTTCAGTCTCATGCAGCGAGCGCAAGCTGCGAGCCGCGCGCATGAACGCCACGCGGCGTGGGCGGCGCGTTCATCAGCGGGTCGAGTCTGCCGCTGTTGAGCCAGAAGGATCCCAGCGAGTCTGGAAGGTGTGCGGCTGTGGGAGCCAAGGAGCCTGGCCTGCGTGGCTAGCCTGCGCGGCTAGCCTGCGTGGCTAGCGTGGGCGGCGAGTGATTTGGACATGCAACAAGAAGAGAATCAAGCGAGATGCTGCAGCCATGATGGTGCCTTAATGTAGACTCTTAATTGATTAAGAACACCTCCCCATCTGGATTGAAAAACCTCTTCATGCTTGGGAGGGTTTATCAATCAATAGCTAGTCTACAAAATTAGGGATCTGAGCCTGACCCATCTTTTGCCTTATAGCCGAGATCGAAAAGGGACCGAACCCATGCAGTGATGACAGCGTCGCGGTCGACCCGGATCTTAGCCCCGTCGGGACCAACCGAAATTCCGCCCTAGGATTCCTGGCGGTATATGATTTTCCGCTCCTGGCCCACCTCCGTTTCGAAGATGTGCCAGGGGTGGGTGGATGCCAGGGGGGTCGAATATCACGGGTCACCGGATCGGAGATGGTTGGACGGACCCATGTTGCCCTTTGCAAGATCAACTGCGGGTGAAGCATCGGCCCAAAACTGGATCTCTTCGTCTTGACACCGGAGAACATGCTCTCATATACTCCCCCCCAAAACAAAAACTTCCTCTTCCTGGCTTCCAAGTTCTGTTTCTTGCGAACATCCACACGTGATCACTATACTGGCAACTGCGCACTCAACTGTGTAACTCTTTTTCCTGTATGCAGTGGCTGGACACTGATACTCACAGACGTCCCAAATTCAAACACCCCAAGTTCGCACTTCGAGTTTTCTCCTCTTTGGGGACGAGGCGTCGTCACGGCGTAGGCGTCATGGCGTGGAGCCGGGAAGGGCGGCAGCCAGCTGAAGCGCTCGTGGGCGGCAGCCAGCTGGTCGAGCAGCACGGCAGCGTGGCGGACTGGAGAGCAGCAGCAAAACGACGGGTGGTTTGTTGGAAGCAATGATGTTGGTAGCGGTTCTGGTTGGGAGGAGTACCAGGGCCCGGGGCCCTATAGGTCTAATGAAGTCCGGCCAGTTTCTCCTTGCTTTGGGCTTCATGATGCTGCATGTACCATCCCATGGTCCCTGGTCTAGTAGCTCTGTCGAGTTTTGGGGTGAGTCTAGAGCCGCTTTCCGGTCATGTCTTGAAGGGGGGAAAATGCTGGGAACAGGCCAAAACCTGACCGAAACCGCTGCGCTGGTCGGCCTTTTGGTCCAAGTGGAAAGTACTTCGATTGAACCGCTGCCTGGTCACCTTGTGATTGATTCACATGACCGCGGCCACTCTGTCCGCTAGGTACCGGAGATTGCCGCACGATCCCAGGCAGTCGTGAATCAAATCCTGTCTTTGACAGGCACAGGAGGCACAGGTGGTGATTTGGCCAGAACAAGGCGTGTTAATGAATCATGAGGCGAGCAAAGCCGGCATTCCGATTGCCTTCAGCAAAGGCTTTGCCATGGCTATGTCGGCGTCCTAGAGCTCTACAAGACTCCTCACAGATCCCACGGGGGGTGTGGTGACCGCTGTTCGACGGGAATCCATGTCTTGGTGCATGATGGCTCGTAGAAAAGGGAGTCTCTTGGGGCAACTCTTTCAACTTTGCAGCATCACCACCCCAGCCAGGACCCGACATCAAACAACTAAGGTGTGTATTTGCTCTGTCCATAACTGCTGCAAGTACTGCGCATCATTGACTTGTACTTGTGGCGAAAACCAGAATCACTGCGGAGGTCCCCCTTGCTGTTCCTTCAGCTGCTTCACTTCTTCTCGCAACTGCGTGACTTCATCCAGCAGTGCCACGATCTGCAGGATGTGCTTCCCGGGATTGCTGGCGTAGTGCGCTTCCAACTCATTCGTGGGGACCTAATCACCGAATGCCTCACCGAGACCTTGGGTTAATTTATGTAATATAAACCTATATACATGATGGTAGTTGCTAGATGTTGCTAGTATTAACTATAGTAGAAGAACTCACTAGTCCGGTCTGTACCCAGGACTCCTCCACCCCAACAGCCAACAGCCTGATCTTCTGAACAAATAACACACAGCCAACTGATGGACAGCCCTGCGCTGTCATGAACAAGTAAAACAACAACTTCAAACTTCGACTGACTGGACTCATTGAAAGATGCGGGGTATCCGGTGAAACTACATGCTCACGGTCTTCCCCCGGTCTTCCCCAGTCTTCGTGGTGCACACCTGAACGTTGCAGAGGGGACAGGTGGTGGACAGCGCCCGGCAGTCTTTCAAATGCTTCTCCTGCAGTCAGTGGGTGGTCGGACAATACTTGGCCAGGGGGACATGAGTTCGACACTTCAAGTCGGGTTGGGTGATGCACCCAAAGAATGGTGCCACGTATGCTTCTGACGCTGAAACACCCTTCGGCCCTTCGAATTCGTCTGCCTTCCTCGGCTCGGCTCGGTGTTCGACTCGGACGTTCCGAAGAAGGCGGGCCGTCCAAGGGGGGATGGACATCGGACGGTCCCCTCCCAGACTCTGCATGGTGTAGCCCCAAACGAATGAAGCGCCGCGACTGGACATGGATCCGAGATGGGGATGCGACCGGGACCCAGCATTCTACAAATGGGAAATGATGGAAGAGTCTATAAGATTCGGATGGAAGAGACTTTTGCAAGGTGAACCTTTGCCCAGCCTGCCTTGTCACACAAGTTGAAGCTCTCACCACAGTTGTTGGGGCACTTCACCATGAGGTTCAGGATGGCTCTTCGCTCGAAGTGTGCTGGCACAATGCTGGAACCATCTTTGCGACAAACCGGACACTTGCTGTCCTCCGCCAAGCATTTGACCCAGCACATTTCACAGAAGAGCACCGATCCACAATCATGTGCCATGGCATTCCGTGCCACCAACATGCAAATGGGGCACTTCAACTTGTCCACCTCTGCTGGATCTGCCCAGTCCTCATCATACCCACCCGTCACCTCTGGCGTCTCCAGACTCACCGCAGCAGTCGTGGCTTGTGGGGAGACCCTCTGCACACCCGCTGCCGCAGCAGTCGTGGGGAGGTTTTCCCTGGAAAGCCTTTGCTGGGCGTGAAGAGAAGGCGGTGCCGCTGAGCCCATGTAGCCTTCAGTGGTCCAGCCTTCTGTTGGTGGACTTTGAGCTGATCGATCTGGATGCTGATAATACCATCCCCTCTCGTCATCTTCATCGGTGATCTTCCATTGACGTCTAAAAAAAATGATGCTCTTGCCCTCCATTTGCCAATATTTGGGCTTGCCGTTACTTGAGCCGATGTGCACATAGCAACCGTTGGTGGCTTCGCCGCTGCCACCCGCACCTTGAACCCACAGGAACCTTGGAGCTGTCGAGATGGGAACATGAACAGGTGACAACACGATGGGGACTTCGCTTCCACTCAGTGTCCATTCACCAGAAGGTGGCAAAACTGCGAGCACATCCGGATGCGAATACAAACCGTCCGACGTCTCTGCAGCCTTGATCTTCCAGCCATCATCGAAATGCAGGGTTCCAGAGCCACCCACTTGTCGGAACTTCGGCTTACCATTGAAGTCTTCAGCTCGAGCATAGCGGCCATTCATGCTTCCGGTGGCATTTGCGACTTGCAACACCTGTGGAACACTGCAGATGGTGGGAACGGGATCCGTGGATCCCTCTACACTTGTCCATTCACCCAAAGGTGGGTGCGGCAGTGAGTCATCTGGATGGCAATACACCCAGTCATCGACACCTGAGAGGATGGTTGGTGAATCTGCGAGAAGCATCAAACAAATTAAAGTTTTTAAAAAAAGAAAAACATCAAAAAGATCTGGACAACTTAAAGAACATTGGCAGAATTGTGAAAATGCATGGTATCAATACATCCACACATGATAATTACAATATTTTATACATGCTATTGCTCCGACACTGGGGGTTTGCTTGAGGTCCAAACGTGAAGATAAACGTGAAGATAAATGAAGAGACTTCAGAAAGATACGCACAAACCAACTCTGGTTTCCAAAAGTCCTGTTTCTACGGAGCAAGAACAAGATTCTGCACCAAGAGACCGCGGACACCAATCTTCCAGCGCTCATCAAAGTAGATGGTAGCATCACCGTCCACCTTTTGGTACATGACTTTGCCATTGTGCTCCCCATGGTGCCTATAGGTACCATGCAGTCGATGGGCGTCTGGGGCGGGGCTCGGCACAGCCAGTTGCACCAGGACTTCTTGCGGAATTTCTCCTGAGTCACTCAGGATGCGCAGAAGGAGCCCAGCTGGGAACATGCAGATGACTAGGCCCAGCTGAGCTCAGCTGGGACCAGCCCTAAATTGCCACGAACGAATTATATATAGCTTGTGCACTAGCTTGAGCTATGAAGGGCAAAGAAACTTTGGCATCTCAAACCTTTTGGGCATCTCAAAAGATGGACCAATCCGTTTGCCCAGTCGCGAATGCTTGAAGGACTTGCACTCGAGAGATTTGGGGTCTCCCCCGTTCCATGCATCATGCGATGAGCCTTACCGAGCAACAGCACGCGGCCCACGGCTGCTAGAGGAGCCACCTTCTCTCGATGATTTGTGGGGTAAAACCAAGAACCATGGAGGCGATGCACTGTCACCCTCATGGATGGAGAAAAGTGCAACCTCCTTCCTGACGCACTCTCTTCTGGACAGTTCGACCAGTCAGCATCTTCATCATCCTGAGCAAAAATCACAGTGTCTCCTTCTTGCACATCTCGACTGGTGCCCCACGAGAGGCTGGGTGGAGTGCCAAAAATGATGTGATGTTCCCATTGGCTGGGAGGCATAGGGAAATCTCCCTCCACGGCATCATAATTCCTCTGTCCGGTGGTGTCTTCATCATTCAACCTCCATAGGCCTGATTCAAAAAAAAGGATCGAATTGCCATCGACCTGCTGATATTTGGGTTTGCCTTCATGAAGGCCCACCTGTGCAAAGCGGCCATTCACTGGTGCATGCCCCGCATCTTTCACCACCAGAAAGGGCGGGTGTGCTAGCTGGAATCCTTCAACGGAATACCTGTGCTGTGAATGAAGCGACGGAGGAGGCTCAGCATCGCCCGAATAGCCCTCAGTGCTCCACCCGTCAAGGGGCGGCTGACTTGCAGAGCTATCTGGGTGCTGATAGTACCAGCCCATTTCACTATCTCGGTGGTTGATCTTCCAACGACCTGCGAAGTAAATGATCCCAGCACCATCCATCTGCCAATATTTGGGCTTGTCGTTGCTGGAGCCGATGTGCACATAACAACCGTTCGTCAGCTCGCCGCTGCCACCCGCACCTTGAATCCAAAGGAACCTTGACGCCGTCGAGATGGGAACATGAACAGGTGACACGCTGGGGAAGTCTCCTCCAATCAGAGTCCTCCAGTCGCCCATAGGAGGTAGGGCGGCATGATCCGGATGGTAGTATGAGGTCGAATCTTCCGAAAACTCTTCTCGCCGAATCTTCCAGCCATCATCGAACTGCAGGGTTCCAGAGGCACCCACCTGTCGAAACTTCGGCTTACCATTGAAGTCTTCAGCTCGAGCATAGCGGCCATTCATGCTTCCGCTGGCATTTGCGACTTGCAACACCTGTGGAACACTGCAGATGGTGGGAACGGGATCCGTGGATCCCTCTACACTTGTCCATTCACCCAAAGGTGGGTGTGGCAGTGAGTCATCTGGATGGCAATACACCCAGTCATCGACACCTGAGAAGCGTTTCAGAGTCAAATCTAGGAGAAACATCTAGATGTTCCCCCCGAGCTTGGTTGATGGCAAAGTGTCATGTCAAGGTTACAGCCATCAGCTGTGTTGAGCGGACCATGTGAAACCCACAAGCTTGGTTGATCATTTGCATTCAGATCTGCTCTGATCTAAACCCAGTCACCTTGGATCATGGAGCAGTTTGTTAATCGAATTCTCTTGGTTTCTCAGTTGCTCCGGCGAGGTGACTGAGTTCGTCTTACTCTCTAAAAGGCAGCCTGGTTCAACACGGCAAACCCCGTTCCGGGGGGTTTGGAAGTGGTTTCCTCAGGTGAGTGTCACATAGTGCCAACAGCATCAACAACAACTCCTGAGAAGCCTTGCCATGCAAGGCACCATGCAAACCTATCTTCCATTGGCCATCGAAATAAATGCTCGCAGTGCTATCCACCTTCCTGTACATGACCTTGTCATTGTGCTCGCCATGGTTCCCATAGATGCCACGCAGTTGATTGCTAGAGCTTGATTCACCACTGAGTTGCACAAGAATCTCTTGGGGCACCTCTCCTGCAATCGTTACTGTAGTGGAATCCGCGATTGTGGAACATGAGGAACATGTCAAACCTCAAAACGATCCGTTAGCTTGAGCGGAACAGTTGTACAGTTGTTTTTGCAGTTACTTTCAGTTTGACCACTCTCTTCCGCACAACTGTCATGTGGTGAAGTCTGATGAAGTCTGATTGTCCAACTGATTGTCATCTTGGCTTCACTACACCAACCAAAAGAACTACACTCTGACTCACTAACATGTAACATGGAAGTGAACAACCCCCCAAAATGACTTTATACACAACACCCAAAGAACTAGCAGCTATAGAAGCTACTAGGTGGAGGCCATCGCTACTAGGTTGGAGGCCAATACTACAGTAGTAGCTAGGAAGCTTTAGAATTTTTGGCCAACGACTCCAACGACTGCATCGATCGTTCCGGCCCTCGCACCCCGCATGGAGACGAAGAGACCGAGGGGTGAAGCGAAGCGCAGCGAAGCGCGAGAGATCCTTCGTGTGGTGAACTCGTGGAAATCAGAGGACCAATGGCCACAGACCCATCAGACCGTCGGTGGTTGGAACCCCCCATCGAGATAGGACATGGGGTCGCCTTTGGTCCTCGGAAACCACGGTTTACCAGACCAAACCCTGAGAGTCAAGTCGACGATTCAGAATCGGTGACCCAAGTAGGTCGGGAATCTCGACTTCAGCCGGTCCAAATCGTGTCGAACTGGACAAGCCTTAGGGTAAACCATGACCCTGGCGTTAGAGGGGGCTCTGGTGGGTACAATGGTAAACCTATCTCGGATATCCCATGATCTCCGAACTCCATCCGGGCCCTGTCTCTGCCAGCTGCTCTGGTCCTGCACCTTGAACGTGCTGCGCTCGCAGGCTGCGCGCCGCTCGCATGAAGCGCTGGGTGGGACCGGGCCAGCCCGGCCGAAGCGAGCGAGGAACTCGAGCCACACGCGGCGGGGGAGCGACGAGTTGTCGGTCGGTCGGCGACGAATGGGTTCCGTCAGCCACCCAGACACTCCATGGGACTGGCATATTTACCTACATGGGGTGGTTGAAGTCGGGGTCAATGGGGCGGCATATATGGCAGTCCCATTAGTCGTGTCTGGGACAGGGATCTTCTGATGGTTTGTTCCGCGCATCGATGCCATTCAGGCATGCCGAAGTGGATGGATGGGACTGCGGGTGGGTGATGAAACTCGACGAGTGCCAATGGCGACGATGGCGGTCGCTCTCGTTTTTGAGCGCAGGTCTCGCTGGTCCTGTCTTTGACAGGCCACTTCATCCAGAAACCGGGCCGAAACTCGGGGCCTTGTTCGATCTTGTTAAGGCCAGAGCTTGCCCAATTGCCTTTAGCAAAAGCTTTGCCACGGCTATTTATGGCAGCTCTACGAGGCCTTCAAAAGTGTAAAGTAAATCGAGGCCACGAAGCTTCGAAACTGGGATTCGATACGATTTAAACAAGCGGGGTGTTTTGGTGTAGCGCGTGTAGTGCTCTTCACTGCGCGACTGGGTGCGCTTACCATTAATCGAACCGAGTGCCAGATTTGGAGCATCAAAGCTACAAAACTAAAAGAGAGAGAGAGAGAGATAGAGAGAGAGAGAGAGAGATTGGTGTCACTGTCAACCAGCTTGCTGTTCCTTCAGCTGCTTCACTTCTTCTCGCAACTGCGTGACTTCATCCAGCAGTGTCATGATCTGCATGATGTGCTTCCCCGGATTGCTGGCATAGTGCGCTTCCAACTCATTCGTGGGGACCTGGACCGGAACTGAACATCCCAAGCTTCACATGTCTTTACTGTAACTCCAAAATCCCTTGTTTGCAGAGCAAGGTCGGCTTCCAAGGCACCAGTGTTGGAGGAAAGCAAGAAATGACATTCTAATGTTTCTAATGTGTTAGATGGCTGCTTTATGCGATTTGTTTGTCGCTGAAAAGCAAGATCAACGGATCAAACATGATTAAACTATCATCGTCACTGCCGGAGGGGTATCAGCACCATGTCTACAAACATGGCGCGTCATAAAAGGGAATATATGGAGATATGATACTTTATAATACGTACCAGGACCTTCAGTTCGTGACCTCCTTGGAGTCTGTAAGTGACCTCTTCAGGGACTAAGTGTATATATATTTCATACGCATAATGCATCATCCATATCATTGCATACCAGGACCCTCCTGGCCCAGCTCTTTTGGGACACAGGTCCAGGTTGGACTCCAGGTGAACCTGGGATCTTGGAGTCTGGTCTATCTGGATCTATCTGGCATCTTCGACTCCCCATGGATCCACCTTCTCAGCTCATTGGGACCCTCCTCCCGGCGCCAGTCTGACCGTCTCCGCCTCCGTCCGTCTCCGGTCATCTTCTCGGTTTCGGTTCGGTACCACCGCGGACGTCGGACGTCGGAGGTCGGACGTCGGTGGCACCTGTTCTTGGCAAAGCGGGCAAAGCGTGAACCTGGCGGAGCAGTCCTTCAGGTGCTTCTCCTGGGGGCGCAAGCTTCGGCGGCGGCGAAGCTTCGGCGCTTCTGCGAAGCTTCTGCGAAAGATCCTCATCGTTCGAACGTTGAAGCAAATGGAAAGGATTTCCGAGCGCTTCGAGGTGCTTTGTGGCCTTGATTTCCCCCCAAACCCAAGCAACATGGATGATTAAGATGATTAAGGATGTTGAACTCTCCCCAATGCGAACTGTTGCGAACCACGTTCCCTTCCATGGGCGGCAACATGGAGCGGTGCTTGTTTGTTTGGCCTAGCCGTCACAGCCAAGAAAGTCGATGCCCCAAAGTGCATCTGTTTGTCAAGACTTCCAAATCAACGCCCTGAGCAGTGGGATGTACCGAAAGACCTGAGTCAATTATGGTCAAATACTAGACCTGTTTCTGCGAGGTTGGCCTGTCCAGCCTGCCTTGTCACACAAGTTGAAGCTCTCACCACAGTTGTTGGGGCACTTCACCATGAGGTTCAGGATGGCTCTTCGCTCGAAGTGTGCTGGCGCGATGCTGGAACCATCCTTGCGACAAACCGGACACTTGCTGTCCTCCGCCAAGCATTTGACCCAGCACATTTCACAGAAGAGCACCGATCCACAATCATGTGCCATGGCATTCCGTGCCACCAACATGCAAATGGGGCACTTCAACTTGTCCACCTCTGCTGGATCTAATGCCCAGTCCTCATCATACCCACCCGTCACCTCTGGTCTCTCTGCAGAACTCTCCGCGGGACTTGCGGGCGCGGCAGTCGAACTCCTGGAGGTCGTTGCGCTCGCGGGCGGAAGCAGACGATGTGGCTTTCCCATGAGGTGCACCTGACCCAGCGCGGCGAGCGGTGCGAAACTCTCCGGGAAATTCGTGGGGTAAAAGAAGTCTCCTTGAAGCCGATGCACCGTCAGGGTCCAGGGAGGGGAGAACAAGAGTCTCCTGGAGGACGCACTGATCTCTGGACAGTTGGACCAGTCAACGTCCGCATCATCCTTTACAATGACCACACTGTCTCCTACCTGGATGTCTTTGCTCGTTCCCAAGGACAAGCTTGGTGCATTGCCATAGCGTTGCCCCAGTTGTTCCCACCGTGCCGGCGGCAGGGGGGTATCTCCCCGTGCCCCATCGTACTTGCGCTGTCGGGTGTTCTCTTCGTCATTGAGCCTCCATAGTCCGGCTTCAAAAAAGATGATGGAGTCGCCACCTAGCTGTCTGTACTTCGGTTTGCGTTCGTGAAAGCCCACATGTGCAAATCGACCGTTCACCGCCGAGTGCCCAGCGCCCGTCACCACGAGGAAGGGCGGGTGAGCTCGTTGGAAGCCCTCGGCGGAATACCTCTCTTGGGAGTGGAGCGAAGGCGCCGGCTCGGCATCACCAGTATAGCCCTCAGTCGTCCACCCCTCTGTGGGAGGCACCCTCACAGATCCATCCGGGTGCTGGTAATACCACCCGCCCTGGTCGTTTCGATAGTTGATCTTCCAGTGTCCTCCTCGAAAGTAGATGATCCCCGATCCATCCATCTGCCAATACTTGGGCTTGCCATTGCTTGAGCCAAGGCACACGTAGCAGCCGTTGGTGGACTCACCCACGCCGCCAGCTGATTGAACCCAAAAGAATCTAGGAGCTGAAGACATGCTGGGAATCTGAAGAAATGACAGTCTTGGAGAGTCTCCTCCCATCAGTGTTCTCCACTCACCTACAGGAGGCACCATGGAATCCTCTGAATGTTCATATGAATCATCTGATGTCTCCGCACTCTTGATCTTCCAGCCATCATCAAAGTGCAGTACTCCAGAGCCACCCACTTGTCGGAACTTCGGCTTACCATTGAAGTCTTCAGCTCGAGCATAGCGGCCATTCATGCTTGCGCTGGCATTTGCCACGAGCACCGCCTGTGGTACGGTGCTGATTGTAGGAACAGGATCCGTTGATCCTTCTGCTCCTGTCCATTGACCAGAAGGTGGATAGGACAGTGAATCATCTGGATGGCAATAGATCCAGTCATCCACACCTCAGGTGGCTGAGATTCTGAATCTGACCTGCGGGAAATATCTATATTACCCAGCCAAGAGAAGGAAACACCACATGTTTTGCCTATTGCGCTGAATGACAAGACAGTCAGTGCAGTTTCCCAGTCAGTGTTGGCTCCCGAATTCCATGCCAAAGAGATGTGAAACCATGTGAAACACCCGGCTGGTTGTGGGAACGGATGAAGAAGTTATATGATGATATTCAGTATGTCAGGTATGGCTCCAAGATAGGTGTCCCCCAAAACAATCCTGCAGTTGGCCATCTCCATGTGCACTGATCTTCCGCCGATCTTCCAGAAACAAGACACCGCGCACACCAATCTTCCACTGTCCATCAAAGAAGATGGTGGCATCACCGTCCACCTTTTGGTACATGACTTTGCCATTGTGCTCCCCCTGGCGAGCATAAATGCCGCGAAGTCGATTGGCATCGCTTGATGTAGCATCAAGCTGTAGCTGAATCTCTTGAGGCACCTCTCCTGACAAGTCACGAGTGAGCAAGTTTATGAGCGTGGAGACTGGAATTGTTTAAATATAGGCTCTTAATTAACCTCAAAACAACATCAACTATTCCAATAGGTCGGATTTTAATTTCTATCACACACGGGTTTGGGTGGGTCATCTGTTGAAGCCCTGTCATCGTGAGACTTCATCATCTTGATCTGACATTTAAAAAACACATGCCGAGCAAGTGTCAGCGGTGACTGCTACAGTGTACCGCCGCTACCAGGCATTACCAGGGCACCAAGAAGGACGATCCAAAAAAGGGATTCAATGCAGAAAGAGAAGGTAACCCATCTCGACGCTTCATAGCTTCAACTCTTTCTCCCACACGGAGTTTCTGGAATCACCAGTACCATTGATTCCCATTAATCACCCAGCGACGGACATCCTCTTTGACCCAGTGCATAAACTATTCTACGGACATAATGTTTGACCATGGTGTCTAAACTGTGAAAAACATTGTATTGAACCCGTGTAAAAACCAGAATCAGTCTATCTACTGAACCCTTTGAATCTCTGTTCACTTCGATTTGGAGGTCTCCTCCCATCCCCCCTTCATGGTCATCTCAGAACAAACCGAGTCCTTCGGAGATCCGGTGCTGCCTCAGGACATCCCGATGGGATACGATGTGGAGACGGTGCATGTGAACCCAAACATGGTTCTTTTTGGTGGGAAACAGGGTTCTAACTACCTAGTTCATCTATAGATAGGAGACGATCCTATCGATGTTTATACTTTTTTAATAGGCAAAAACAAAGAGTGGTTGGTGGTCCAAAATGGAGGTCATTCAGAGTCATTCAGGTTCTAGGTATATAATTAGAAATATCAAATCAAGGTATATCATCAAAATATACATCATATGTGCCTTTTGGGACATCTGGAACTCATTGAGTCAGACTCTTCCAATCCATCCATCCACCCCAAAGAGAGCGCTCGCTTCTGAGAATACCCCCCCCTTACAAAGAGGCCCTCCCTCCGTCTTCGATCATCATGGATCCATTGCGAAGCAGTTAACGGCCCTGACGGCCACATCTGCGACACGACTTCGAGCCCGGTGGAGAACGGTGGAGACCCGGCCTCTCCATGAAGATCACCATCTTCACGGTCTTCAGCGGCGCCACCTTCTCGACCGAGTCGGTCTCGACGTAGAGCCAGTCGTGGTGCACCCGCTTCACAAGGCCATGCTGGCCCGGCGTGAAGGGCAGCCTGGTGTGGGTGGTGTGGACAGCCGGCGGGTCCATGTACGACGACAGATCCCAAAGATTGAAAATGGAACTTGGCAAATTTGCAGATCGGAGGAGTCAGTTGAGGTCCTTCAAAAAAGGTCCAATGTACTGCAGTCTGTATAGTGTCATTCTAGTAGTGTGGAATTCATTGGCAGGCAGGCCCTCATCGCTTTCCAGGAAGAAACTCAAAGCGATCGCATGATTCTACACCCCTTCCTGACTCTGTCAATTGAACAAAGCATGATTGCGCGACATACTTCAGAGAGCCCTTGCAGAAAAACATTCGTACCATATATTCAATCCGGGTGTCTTGATTCGGATCTAAGGGTTGACCCAGCGAGGGACACCTCCTCCACCACTGAAACCTGCGAAGACCACTGGGCAATCGAGTGTTCACGTCGAGTTGGCGGTGTGGTGTGTTCACGTCGAGTCGGCGGTGTGTTCACGTCGCGGTGGACGGACGTGACCAGCCTGGCCAGTTTGAGATGTGCACATGACATGTACCAAATTTCAGATATCCTGTCTTTCCATGTCCTTCTGGAGACGTATGGAGAGTATATAGTCTCTTTTTTGCAGGGTAGTTCAGGCAGGGCAGGCAAACAGTTTGCTGTGTGAACTTGCAAGCCGGTCACATGCATGTGCGATCTGGCCCGATGGGGAGCGAGCGTTGGTGCGCGCAAACCTCTAGGGAGCTAGTTAGGTCAGCTAGGTGCTTTGATTGAACAATAACTATTCCAGACACTCCATGTATGCCATATATGCCTACATTTTGACCCCCCTGGCACCACCCCTGTCTGTATGGATTCAGGACTGCCAGTCCCAAACAGGTCGCGTCTGGGCAATAGTGTGTGCCGGACCTGAACATCCACCCTGTCCCGGTTTCTCCTCGCCTCTGTTCTGGAGCCAGCGGGCATCCCGACCAATCGGCCGCCTCCTTGGTCGGCGCAGGACGCGGAGCGGAGCATCTGAATCGCGTGGACCCTGGAGAGTGGCACCCACTGGGTGTTACACTGGGTGTGACTGGGTGGGCTCCAGGTTACCTCAGAAGGTAGGACTGAACCTTCTAAACCCTCCCCAGTCCCACCTTCGAAACGAAGCTACGAAGGTACGACTGGAGCCCTTAGCCTTGGGGTGTAGCAGCTAGCAGCTGGTCTGAGTTCTCAGGGTCCATGCGTTCCCCACCAGACCCTCAGACCCGTGGCGCTTCCGGCGCTGTCGCAGTCGGGTGACGCGGACCGGACATAGCCTCTGAGGTTTGAACTGGTATAGCTGGGCTGGGTTCCTTGTTTGGTCTGTCCTCCTTTTTTTTTGGTTTAGGCTTCCGTTCCTTTGATCGCTTGTGAAACATGCGCGACTGTCAGTCACAGGTTGCTGTGAATCTGCAACATAAGTTAGGAAAAAATATGAAAAAATATCTCTGCCATGGAACCTAGTGGAATTCCAAATACTGTAAAACTTGAACGTTGCACAAGGATCAAAATGATTTGTTTTCTGTGGCACAAGAACAAAGTGGAATACTGACAGGCTAAATGGAAGCCCCAAGGGAGCATCAAGGGTACCCCCATACCCTTTCACTCAATTCAACACCAGTGCAAGCTGAGGGCATCATGTTTCTTGAAACAGTTGAGAGTTCTTCTGTTGCAAAGGTTCCATGTATTATCTCTACAATATTACATGCGTTGACCTTGCGAGCTCTGGCAATGCAACCGGTCTGTGCAGGAAAGCTTCTGAGTGGCTTCCGAACAACACAGAATCACCCTCGCGTAGATCGTGGCTGGTCCCCAACGAAAGGCTTGGTGCTGCACCGTAGCGAGATGTGCCCAGCTGCACCTGATCAACATGGGGAAAAGCGTGTATGGCCGCCATACCGTTGAATTGAGTATCCCTTTTTGTTGCACAGGCTCTGCGCTACAGGCTCGAGAAGATGTTCAAAAGCATCGAGCCGCAACGATCCGAGAAAGTGACGAGGAAAGGATGGGAAGCCAAGGGGTTTGGGGCTCCAAGAGTATCTGTGGCTGAAATGTGAGAAATGTTGCTCTTCGTCCCACCTGGGCCCTTCAACATATTCTGCCAAAGAAACATGGGATTGGATCCGTAAGAACAAATGGTCGATTTTGATGAGCGTTTTTCACCTCCATCCCCAATGATTAGCCAGATCTTGCCATTCTCTTCCCTCGACATATCTCCGTTGGCCCCGTCGAGTTCGTGACCCTTCGGGATCCTAGAATGAGGTCACTTAGAGTCACAGTTGTGCACCTAAAGAGGTCACAGACAGAGACGAACAGGTGTCACGTACTGAATGCCCTGCACATCTGAAGCCCTTCAGCTCTGGGAGCAATCAGTGACGGTCAGTCAGTCAGGTCTTGTTCTTTCTGTCGGGACCCCGTCCGTCAGTCGAAGGCACCCATTCCAGTGGCGGCATGGGTGAATCATCCTCAGGGCCATCATAGCAGCGCGTATTGGTGTCCTCTTCGTCATTGAGGCGCCATAGGCGGGACTCGAAGAAAATGATCGAGTTGCCACCGACCTCCGGTTCCAAACAAATGAAATCCAAACAACCTCCAAATCCTTCACAAAATCATTAAGATCCTTTCAGATCTAAGGTTGTAACCCTTTGTAACCTCTTAGAAGATCGACAGCATCATTGATTCATGAACTGAGAACAAAGACCTCACTCCTCACTCTCGTACATGCTGAACCACTGAACCACTGAACCACCCAAAATTATTGCAAGGGCCCCCAACAAAATCCGGCGATTCAGTGGTCGATCGAGGTTTGTGACGGTTTCCGCCGACCTGCTTGTATTTGGGCTTCCGTTGATGGAGCCCAGCGCGGAAGTAGCGGCCGTTCACCGTCGGATGCCCAGCGCCGGTCACCACCAGGAACGGCGGAGCATCTTCTCCTTGGTGAGCCAAACACTGGTGCAGTCAAAACCCTAGGATTCCCACCATGCTTTGATAGCCTGAAGCCTGAACAACCGTTGTTCTACGCTTTTTGCAAGGTTGAAAGGCTAGGTCGGGAATATGTATGACAATGTTGTCAAGTCTGTTTTAACAAGAAAACTATCCACTATACTAACAAGAGTCTCCCCTAGGATTTCCGCTGGCCACTGGCCAAGCGTAAAGATTACAAAACCTTTCGGAATTGGGGTACGCCACAGCCAGCCCTGCCTAAGCCGAGGCAAGAAGCTGACTCCAAGACATCCGGTAGGAACAGCCAGCCCTGTCACATCACCCCCCAGCCGCTTTGAGCACAAAGAACTGACTCTAGCCTAGCCCTTGATCTTTCCCCCATCTTCTCAGCTGAGCCTCCGCTTGATGAACCTGCTCCATCAGAAATCACATGTTTCTTCCCTCTCAATTCCACAAAGCCCAACGCAGTCAACGGAGCGATCTTGCTCTCGAAGATCGTGGGGTAAAACCAGGCGCCGTCACGAAGGCGGCTCACTTGGACCACCCAGGGTGCTGAAAACCTCAACCTCCTGATGGGTTCATCCTCCTCCGGGCAATTGGACCAATCCACATCCTCAACGTCAGATCAGTGAAACAATGAAAGGTTTCACATGCAGAAACCGTGATCTGAAAAACCTCCGCGTGATGCAAAAAACGGTCGCGACCTGTGACAGGTCACGTCACAGGTCGACTTGATCCCAATGGATCCCAGGAATTCCAGGGGCCCTGGTCTCAACGGTCTTTCCGTTTGGTCTGTCACTGGAACCACCAGGAACGAGTCATGCATCACGGTGTTCCGAACACGAGTTGTGCTTTGGATCTGGGTTGGTCGACTAAAGGTTCTCTCTGGCAGAGTTGCAGGCCATCCAGGACTACAAAGGGCGGTTTCATGTCCACGGATTGGTTGTGCTGATCTTTTTCGGGAACGCCACGAGGAATCGTAACAAGTGCATCGCTTCGTTCGTAACAAGTGCCTTACTCGTAGTAACAAGAAGCTACTAGTAACAGGTGCCACGCTAGTAGTAACAAATGATGTCTTGGGACCTATGACAGCCCTTTGCACACCCAGAAAACCCATGTCCAGTTCCAACGGGGTGTCGTGCATGGGCCCCCTTCGATCGGGAACAACACCCAGGAAGCCGTCAGCCTTCCCGGACAACACCGCAAAAAGAGGTCCCAGGATGGGAACCCTCCATCTGCAGAAAAGCATCTCCATCATTCTTCACCTTGGCACTGTGGCACACGGACGAAAGAAAAAACACATGGACGATCCTAATTTGGTCTGCTTTGTATTTGATGTGGGGCAGATTTGGGTACCGTACCTCGGCCCTCCAAGAGAAAACTTCTCAAAAGCCGACCAAAAATGAGAGGAATCCGTTTCCTCCCACTCCAACCCAGTTGGACTCCCGGAGAAGGTGTACATGTAAAAGTTCTATAATCTTTGAAACAATCGCAAACGCTGCGGGCACTCAACGCCTTAGGGCTACTATACCTACAACATTCAATATGATGGATGGTTTTCCTTTTAATCTCTCACACACACAAACACCGGTGTGTGTTAAAAGCGGGGAGGACCGTCTCCAGGCATTGCCGCCGGAAGGTTCGGAAATGTTCGGCACATAGGAAACCCAAACCCGAGCCGAATTGGGCCAGGGTGTCTTCATATTAAAATGTACACACCCACCTTGTGCTGCACAACTCTCGGTACAGTCCCAGGCACGATGGTCACACTATCGCCCTCCAGGAGGTCTCGAGCAGTTCCCCAGGAAAGGCAAGGTGCTGGAGGGAATCGGGGCACGGAGATCGATTCCCAGTCATTCAGCGGTGGCATGTCGGTCTCCGCCCGGCAAAAGTAGCTCCAGCCATCAGTGCCTTCTTCGTCATTTAATCTCCATTGACCTTGGCTGCTAGCTGTTGTGTTGTTGATCTTTAACAGCCTCCTGCTCAAGTTGTATCCAAGTCCAGTCAAGTCTTCTGACAAATGAACGCAGTTGGTAGTTCCAGAAAAAAAAGGCTTCTGGTGCGATGTTCTTCGTCACCGCGCGAGAAATAGATGACTGGGTCTCCATCCACCTTCTTGTACTTCACCTTCCCCGCCGGTCCGAGCCCATCGTGTGCATAGCGGCCATTGACCGACGCACATCCAGCACTCGAGACGACCAGAAAGGGCGGGGGCGAGTCGAAAGTGATCGCGTCGCCGTCGCCACGATGGCCTTCTCCAGCGGCGGTGGCTTCCAGCGATGCTCCGTCCGGAGGATCTCCTGGAGAGTGTGCAACCCTACGTGTCGAACCGTCCTCACCGTACCTAAGGTTCGGTACGACTGGATCCCTAGGAAGCTGTTGGCTGAGTCTACTTGGGGAGAGGGGAAAGGCCGAAGGAATTAAGATCCAAGAGTCCATGAGTCCACTCATGCCTCATGCCTCCCCGATTCTAAAGCATCTTGCCAACTGGGCTTCTGGGGACGCATGACCAACCCGAGTATAACACAACTCTAAGGGACTGGGGCTAGCTATGGCCAACTCTTGGGCCAAAGCTCTACGGCTCAGGGCGATCATGCAATTCCTGCGCGAAAGCTGGCAGGGCCCGATTCATGCAGGCCCGACTTGGTGTTAGACAATTCGCAGGTCTAACGACAAGATGCATCTTTGGAGTCTACAAGCAACAATTTTCTTGGACCACTGCTTTGTAGGAGAACCAGCTGGTTTCTCGGCTTTCTATACGCCTCAAGAAAACGGTACAACCTCATGCCCAAGCATGTTCTAAAGGGCCCTATGACCGGCGAATCTGTCCTTCAGGAGTTTCTCCCGACTGCTCGTGCAGCGATCGCAAACTGCGCACCGCTCGCATCGCAGCGTCGCGGCATCGCGCAAAACACCGGGCATCGCTGCTTGCTGGAGCCGCCAGAAGTGCCGCAAGTTGGCGCGTTTTTTTGCGTTTAAAGCCCACAAGTGTTTCGGGTTCTCGTCCCAAACCCAGCATGCTGAGTGGTTTCTCCGGTAGATCGTCCGACGACATGGGCGGAAGAGTTTGAAAGAAGATCAGGTCTCCTCAGATCGCTGGTGTAACTTCCATCAGTGCAGATCACTGGGTGATGGAAGCAACTGAGCTCCAGGTATGGGTATAGAAACTGGATGCAACTTTCGACTGCGCGGCATGACTTTAGGAAGCCGCACTGCATGACAAACCGACGCCACAGAATGTGGGCTGTCCAGCAAGCAAGTAAGACTGTTGGTCAATTGCGATCAATTGTCCAAGAAATATCTGAATCACATATTATATATTAAAATATATACCTTCAGTTTGAACATACAATTATTAGACTTTAAACACACCAGGCACTCAAAACCAAAAGAGAAGATCCCAAGATCCCAAAACGTCCCTCTGTCTCACGCCCGTGAGAGTCTCGCGTCCCTGTCTAACGCTGCGCCTCGCGCCCCGTCAGTCCCGTCACACGGTGCTCAGCCAGCGCCGCTGCGTCTCGGGGTCGCCGATGTTCCATTCACGGCCCCCGAAGTCTTGCCCCGGCACCTGGAGGACAACTGGGGGGGCGAAGATGGACACGTCGCGAACTGCGAGGTCAGTTGTCATGACAGGACATATGAAGTATTATGAAGTCCTGTCCTATACACATTGATATATAGTTTTCCTTGATTCTGTGAGTCAAAGTGGGTTCCAGGAAAGGATTTTCACTGCTTCTAGTCAAGAAAGAATGGGAAAGACTGGTGGGCCCTCTAGCTCTACAAGTTCTTGGAACCGGTTGCCTACGAAACTGATCACTGGACAAAACAGATTGAGTGGGCCTCCACTTGTAAGAACCACTCTTCTATTACAAGTTCTCTGCTTGGATGACCATATCCCTCCCTTATGCACTAAAGACAAATGGATTATGGGTCAAAGCAGGTTAAAAGTGCTCCTGGAGCTCACAAGAAACTCTCAGCCTCACTCTCACTCCTCTGCCCCTCACACCTCCAACAAGAGCCAACTCATGAAGGCCGCCACATTCTCCGGATGGTCCAGGCCTCCGAAGGCCGCGACTCGGCGACGAAAGACCCCCGCTGAAACGGACCTCAGTTTATTTGCCCCTCTCTCCTGAGCTCGAACGCGATGAAGCCGCCTTCAGCCAGCCATTGTCTCTTTTTTCGTTAGAGGCCATGAACTGACAAGGAAACACCTTGTAGATCTCTGGGAAGTCCATCTCCAGCAGTTCCAGTACTTGTGCTGTACCTATCGATCAATCCTTTGAGATTTTGGAACCAACCTGTCCAGATTCGCCAAATAAGTGTGTCCTTAGGTCCTGGGTCATGTGCGCTAGGTCAATATGCATGATACAGCTCCGATCGTCTCATCTCCGACCCGGTGACCGGTGGTTACACCCACCGCCCGGTTACACCCACCCCTGGCCAACCGAACCTCAGGAGGTGGGCCAGGAGCCCCCCCCCTCTTTCCACTCCGCTGGGTGCCACCGGGCCCACCTCCGCGCACGGGCGACGCGGGCCGGTCCCAAGCGCCCTCGGCCGGCGCCAGGCCGCGGAAGAAGCGGGCGCCGCTGAAGTTCTGCGGGGCCGAGGGCACAGTTTGCGTCTGGGTGGCCTAGCACTGGAGACCTACCTAGTCACGCACTTGAACTAGAACCTACCTATATAGCACTTCCTGTCTGGGTGTGTCTGGTGACCTATAAGTAGGGTAGGGTTGTTCACTAGTGACCCCTTGGAGGCAGCTGGTATACAGATGAGTTTTAAACCCAAGAAATACGGTGCATGGGGCAGTGGAGGTACCTCATCCATCTCACCTGATCTTATGCATTCGTATTATATATATATATACCTTGAGTCTCCAATGACCCTTTTAAATTTGCCTTTCCAAGAAAAAGAGGTTTTTGAAAGAAAGCACTCTTTTTTGCATATGTCACGAAATGTTCCTTTTTTGTTTGTGCCCTGTCAGATCCTCCTTAGACAGTGTCCTGAGACCTTTTTTCGGCGTCCAAAACGCGTCTTTTTGCGTCCAAAAGGCGTCTTTAAGCGTCCGTGCCGGACGCGTCCGGATGAAGATTCACTCTGCACCTTTTTTTGAGTCCTCATCTCTAAAAACGCGTTTTTCGAGCAAAAACGCAAAAATATTAGACCAAAAACAAAAACGCAGAAAAAAAAGGTCTTTGGAGACTCAAGGTATACATACATTGCTATTGTTGAAAAGGGGTGAGATATAAAACAATGAGAACTTGGTGCGTCTGCTTTGAACTCAAAAATCTATTCCCAAACAATCCACAATAATCACATAATATGGAGTATTTACATAATACATTGGGATACATTGGGCTGGTTTAAAAAGGGCCAATGTAAGTCAATATGCATGGATATGCACGGCGAAGGAAGGACGTTGAAAAATCAAGGGTGTTCTATTTCAGTCTTTTCGGTTGGGAGCTTTGGGTTGGGAGGTTCTCTCTCTCTCTGCCTCTCTGTTGATCGTAGTGCATCGATCGATGAGGAATCTAAGTCTGGAAGGTTCCATGCGGTGCGGCGCCGTGGGATGTGTCTGTTCACAGAGGTCGTGCCAGGGACCGGGGCGAACGATGGATTCCATGACAAGTCAGAACTGTAGCCAGCGGTCCTTTTCAAACGAGATGACATCTTCGAAGTAGACCATCACCGGGTGATGGATGCGATTTCGGTGTCAGCGATCATCTGGGATCCCGATGATCCTCATTTCATCCCTCTCACCGAAGCCACCCTCGAGAGGGTGTCCTGCGTCCTCCACGGTTGGCAAAAAAGAAACGAAACAAAACAGAACACCCTACAAGTCCAGTCTGACCCAGGTCCCAACCTGGTCAAGACCGAGTAGTTTGCATAGTGTTTCATCGTTTTTCGTATGATATAGTAGTGGATAGTAGTGGTTTTGTATACGATCAACTCCAGTAAAACCGAGGTCCACTCTAGACCTGTCAGGAACCAAACATCCGCTCCGTTCTCCGCTCCGTTCGCCTGTGAACGAAGGTGGGTCTGCATCGGCGTGTCCACCACGCCGGGCATCGCAGAGCCTACGCGGACCCCTTGGGGCGCCAGCTCCTGGAAAGGAGGTCACGTGATGCCCCTCGTCCCTGGCGGAGGTCTTGTTCCGATCTTTTTGGGAGTTGCGTGGTTTCATGTTGTTTCTATTCCATTCATGATCCCTTTTGGTTGGGAGGCTGATCCTTGTGATCTGCAAGAAAACGCACCTGTAGTGGAGGGCTGAAGACTGCAAGTGCCTAAAAGGGCCAAGCCATCTGAAAGCCTTTGTCCCAGGGAGGTGCTGGATACTGCAAAACTCTGCTACCGTATTTATTGCAAGTCCTCGGTCCTCCCGACCGGGAAAGGACTGACTAGACCCTTATAGTAGATGGGAATTCCGATGCGAGTTGGTGCCAGAAAGATGCAAACTGAGAGCATGTCCAATCTTGAATCCGTTCCCAAAAGTCCACGGCCCAATAAAAAGAACTGAAACAAACTCAGGCTTCCGCCCCATCCGCACGTTCGTCGCGGCTCACCCCCAGCCATGGCTTTTCCCGTTCAGACCAGGGACGGACAAATCGATCCCAGTCCCCAAATCCCGCTTCACATGGGCCTCATCCAGGCAGCGCATGATCTGTAACAGGGCGGCCTGCCGACGAACGTGCCACGGGAACCTCGACCGCCGCAGCCAAGCTGTGACCGTCCGATGAGAGGACTTACTGAAATCCATCGTCCAGAAGTGTCAAAACCTTCAAATCAAAATCATGAACTCAATGACCGAAAAAAGAAAGAAAGACCACCCAACAAGCGAAGGCCACGGCCTTACTGGTGCAATAAGTGAGGCATCCTTCCAGTGGCCTGGCACCGTCCGCAGACCGGAAGAGTGGGGTAGTGCAGAAAGATCAAGTTATCCAGTGGGGAACTGCTGAAGAATGGGTGGTGAGTAGAAAACATGATCATGTTTCACTGGTCTAGGTTCGTTTTCTATGTTTGTCAGGGTTCCGACTCCCCCCCAAACCTGGGTGATATTGTCTGTTCGATGTTTGCGTCGAAAGCACAGATTGGACATCCAACGTGAACCTGGGTGATGTCAACAATTGGTTGGAATGCACACCTGAGTCACTTGTCCTAATTTATGATATTTATGCCAGGTACGGTCCTCATTTTAGGGGTTGGACCCGCCAAAGAGTGGCATCTCATACCTCAGTCAGACGGGGTGCCACGGGGTTGATGGTTTTGGTCTTGTTGGCTCGCAGTTCTTCACTGCACAGGGCGGGCGAGCGAAAGACGTGATCCTCTCTGGCACCGACGGCATCGGCAGCGCGGCATACACGACCGACGCGGCAAGCAGCATGGGTTGGAACATAAAGGAGCAACATTCAAACAAGCACATACCAGGACCCTCCTGTCGGTATGTCCAATGGACTACCCCACACTACCGGCCGTTCGGCTTCCAAACAGGGCACCCCGACAGGAGGGTCCAGGTATAATTAATCGGTGATCATCAGCGCGCTCCAACAGGTCTCCAACAGACTTTAGAAGGAAAAACCTGGAAAAACCAGTCGCAGGTGGTGACCTGTTGGAGGTTCCAATACAGTTTTCCATCTATATAAGCACTTATAGTTTCAAATGTCTAGAAGTCTACTATAAGCCATCCATCCGGCCCATCCCCAACCCCCGGTCCCACCGCCCACACCCGACCCCTGTCTCCCCGGTCCCACCGCGTCCCAACCACGTCCCATCCGACCCAAAGCGTTCCATCCGCCTGTGCGCTGCGCCACTGCTGATGTGAAGGACTCGACCTTTCGACTCCAACAGCAAGGGCAGCAGCTCCTGGCGCCGCGCGGCCCAGGCGGTGAGCCAGCTCAAGGGGGCGGAAGGGGTGGAAGGGGGCAGTGGTCGCCCCAACAAGAGAAGAGCGGACAGTTCGGGTGACTTGTTGGGGCGGTGACTTGAAGCACCAGAAATCCAGAAAAATCCATGGGTTCGGGTGGACTCTTGGAAGAACACTGGAAGAACATGTTTTGACCCATGAGTCATGGAGGATCTGCTTGACAGCAAGAACAGATTGAAGGCCATGGACATGGACGGCAAAGGTTGCATCCAGGAACTGGTTGTGGACTGTTAAAGGATGCTGAGTGTTGGTCAACCGCAACTTGCGGTTGACCAAGTTGCGGTTGACTGAGCTGCCATGTTGCAACATGGGGCTAGGTTCAGTGAAGGGGATGGATAAACTCCCTGAAATCATCATGGAAAGTGGATGGCATTAACCCTTGGATGACAATGAACTCCTCGTACCAAATAGGGGGTTTCACAGATGTTCACTCCACAAATCCACGGAGGATTTCAGGCAGTGTAGTAAAAAACACAAGTTAACATCTACCAGGACCCTCCTGTCGGAGGGTTCTACTTATAGCCCCTTAGCTGTGATTCGAGGTGTCCATCCACCACCCCGGACTGGGGGTCCTGGTAGTTAAATGTTCTTGGATGTGTCTGATATATGGTATCTTCTGGCCTTGTGTTCCTTGCGTTCCTTCTACGGTCAATCAGGTGAATCCATCGCCCTTGTCCAAAACGGCCACCCAAACCGGGTTTCCGCCCCGTTTGGGCCAAACAGGCACGCACGCGGCACCGAAAAGTAGGCTCGGAAGGGTGTGTGTCCGATGTGGCGTTTGGGTGCTTATTGCGATCTGCAAGGCACTCGCCACCATCCAAAGCATTCTGATCTTCTCCCAATTCTGATATTCAGTCCAAGAATGTCATCTGATTTCAACCTGAAAAACACCAAACATGGCAGCCTTTTTACAGATGAGACTGAGAGGTGCTCAACTGCATGGTGGTGCGATGACTTGCCGATTCCACTTGGCCACTTGATGAAAAGCTTGGCCACTTGTCGAAAGATGGTCACCACCTCCACAATGAAGAAAACACATTTCACAGGGGATGCACTTCATCAACGGTGAGTGCTTGTCGCTCGACATTTCTAGTTTCTGGAGGCAACCCGACTGGCCAATCTTCGAATTTCCCAGACTTTGGGTCATGTCAAACACCAAAAACATGGATGTTCCATTCTCTTCCAACGCCGAGCCCTCCGCCCGGCCAGCGCCAGCGAGGCAGAAAACCGCCCGGAAACGCCGCCGTGTTCCCTTTCTCCGCGCGCCCGGCGCGCCCGTGTGAGGAAGAGGGGGCCCTCCACGTTGATGGCCATGGTCTTCGAAAAGTCTTCTTCGGTGACCTGTGCCACGGAACCCACCTGGCAGTCGAAGGAGAAGAGGTCGACGCAGTGGGGCTCTCGCCCGGGAGGAGGGATGTGGTGCAATAGACTTAGTGAGTCAATGGTTCAATCCCTATAGAGCTCCTGGCCCATATCCTCAGGTTCAGTGGTTAGACCCCCCCACCCCAACCACCTGGTTAGGAAGCAAGCCAGGAGCCCTAGGGAATCAAAATTAGGTTCCAAATCCTTTGAAGGGGTAGGGCGTGGCATTCTATAGAGTTGGCATGAGTATGCGATCGCTTGGGATTCAGTTGCTTTCGTGAAGTGAGTGAACAGAGGCCACGTAGCGTGGCAAACCACACTTCCACCTATCATAGATATGTCCAAAAAGTGTACCCCAATACTATCCAATGTACAAGAGTTGCAACGTCTCTATATATGTTTCATTTTTTTCCAAGCTAAAATCCACCATATCTTGATAAACCAGAGACGACTTTCCATATTTGCCAGTCGTTTACCTTCGTTTCGATCCCAGCCCATCGCTCAGCTTCCGCGACACGACGAACGAAGTCACGTCACCCACCAACCCCGCGGCCTCTCCAGTCACTGCAGCATTGTGCACCACACATGACAGCGCTGTACCGCCTAAAGAAACAAAAAACAACGAACAGCGCCCAAGGAACTAGCAATTTTGGGGTGGGTCTGTGAAGGGAGAGTCTCCAATGCAGGTTTTTTTCGTTTAAAGGTATATATGGTCTCTTTAAACATGTACTGTGCTAGATACTGTTTTAGTAGGAACCAGATCTGGCACTTGGATGTGAAGAACACTCTGCAAAAAGGTTCACTTCACTGCTCAATCTCAAAGGCTAAGAGCTGATCATGTCCGCACATGTCCAAACACCTTCAAACAAGCAATTACCCTAAATAATAGATCTTTAAACAAACCTTAAAACCGAGAAACAAACAAATCACATACACACATGATATCACACGACCTTCCTCTTGCGGCCTTGGCACCTTGGCAAAGCTCTGCCACGCGCTGAGCGACCAGCTGACGTCCCTCCGTGGTGCCCACATCCGCCGGCACCGCCTGAGACTGAACATCACCGGCCTTGGAGGGTTCCCGAAAGGGACACCTGAAACACATCTCAAGTACGATGACATACTATGATCGTTTAAGTGATTTATAGTTATATTACCATTGATCGTTATTACATACGTATGAGTATATATATATATATGACTATATACATTATATACTTTAAATTTATTAGTTTGTTTGTGTTTGTGTTTGTGTTTTACTATAGTTTATTATAGTTTGTTTGTGTTGCTACTCGCTTCGTTCTGCTCGAACGCCACGAAACGAAACGAACGCAGCTCCGCCACATGAGACCCGTCGACGAGACCTGCGGCGACCCACTGCCGGTGCCTCCACGTTAGTGACGAGCTCGCAGGTCTCCTGCAAGGCCTGGACACGAGGCTCAACCGGAACAAAGGAGACACCGGAATCCTTCTTTTTGACATATTTACGTATACGTATACTCAAAACTTTAAGCCCAACTCCTCAAAACTCCTTAGATTCTGCTTCCGCCTCCTTCGGAGATGAGATCGACACCACTCCCTCCACTTCAGAAGCCACACCGTCGGCCTTGGGACGTCGCCCCACCGCCAGGACGTGGAGACCCTTCGAGGCCAACAGCACACTCAAGGCGCGGCCGATGCCGCTGCCGGCGCCCGTGACCACCTGCCGTTCGGACGACGGAAGAGGTGGGTGGGTTTTCTGCGGACGCAGCGGTTGCAGGTTTGCCGGCCGTGCAGCGGGGCGACAGGGCGGGGGTTGAAGCCGCTCCAAGGAGGAAAGGCGACAGTGGTGAGGTGTGTATGTGTGTGTGTGTGTATTTGTTTTTCTTGGGGATGGAGGGTGGCACGCTGGGGTGGTGGAGCGGAGATGATGTGAGGGCAAAAGGGAGAAGGGAAATGGTTGTCCTGCTAGATCCTGCAAGTAATGCAAATAGTTGGACACCATGCCCCCTTTTGGTCACTAAGTCAAGGAAACATGACACCCGCCGGAAATTGGTGATGCAAAGGAGAATAAGGAGAATGGTTGAACTGACGATCTGCAGCGACAACAAAAAACAACGAACAATTCCATAACACTGCAAGTATCGTATAACACTACGCATTACTGCCACTACAAAGTAACAAATAAAGAAATCACACCTATATACGCACATCTGCTTTCCGATATAACACGAATGAAAATTATATAGCAATCAATATTCCACTAACTAATTTCCACTGAGGCTGCTGTAATTACGTTGACAATATTAAGGCTTGAGCTTGAGACCCCCAGTTCTTCCTCCACACACAGATGCTCTCCACTCCCTCTCTGCTGAGTGCGCACCGCCGTTGGCTTCTGCACACCGCTGGCTGCACCCGACGCATGCTGTGCAGTGCCCAGTGCCGCTGCTGGGCGCTTCATGCGCGGGAGCAACGTGCTCCCTGGCCGAGCAGCCAGGAGTGAGGGCAGCAGCGTGGCTTTCAGCATGGGGAGAAATCGGGTTCACTTCAACAGGTTTGAGTGCCAAAGCTAAGTCCAGTCCATCCAACTAGAAATGAAGGTGGAGTCACTTGCATAGTCATTGCCTGGATATCCCATTTGAGTTCCCTTTTTGTTGATCCATGACGACACCGAATTCACCGAACGAACTGCGTCCTTTGCTCTTCTGCTCGGTGGAGTGTTTTCTTTTGTTGGAGCGTCGACGAGCTTCAGTTCGATCTCTGGGAAGTCCAGATGTGTTGGATTCTCAAACAACCTGAGTGGTGCGACTCGCAGGGAATGAGGGTGGCTGGATCCAATAGAATCTCTATTGGGGGCGAAACTTCCCTTATTCCCTACTAAGCACCAGTCAGCAACAGGTGCACCTCAGAATACATGGCTTACATGGCTTCACGCTTCCAGCAGAACATCGATAGGGCGTTAAAACATGAAGATCATCGGAACGTCAGGTTGTTCAAAGACGTGGCCTTGAGCCAAAAGCCTGTCATCAGTTCATATATATCAACCCAAGCAAAACCAGGCAAAACCATGGGCACAGTCACCCAATCATGGGCAAACATACAGGTTAAGAGCGTTTTGTACGCAAGCACCAGCAAACTGCAGCACCAGGTTTCGGTGCAAAATTGGTCAAGGAGACGTGACCCGGGAACCCCGGCAGACTTGAATGACCGGTCGACACGCGCAGATTCTGTGTCGGCGCGCAAACTGACCGTCGTGACCCGAAGCCTTGACTTGGAGATCCACCCGAGTTCCTTTCTTCACATCAGCGCTGAAGTCCCCGGGGGGCCGATCTTTTGGGCTAGTCCAGTCATGTCTGACTTCATGTCTGGCCCTGCTTCAAAAAGAGCGACGAAGAAGCAATTCTTTGGAGAAACCGCAGGACAACCTCCCCGCATTGAAGGCTTCTGCTTCCAACAGTCCCACAAAAAGAATTTATTTTTGACACACGTCACCCCCGCTTTTGCTTCTTTCGCTCAGCCCTTTTTTCCCCAAAGCACTAAGTGGTCCACCAACCTGTGCTCGAGCACCGCAGCGGTCTTCACTGCTCCGTGGTCTCCCGCGGAGAGGTCCCGTTGAAGTTGGGCACCGAAAACGACACCCAAGGGCTGAACTCGACCGCATGCGGCCGCGTAACGGTTCCCTCGTCCTCGCACGACCCGCGTGACCCGAGACACGCCGCCGCCGGACGTCCGGCCAGCCGCGGCGGCCGAGGAGACGGGACCGTCCGGCAGCCGCGGGGGCAGTGAGTCCGTTCGAAGCCGTTCGGAGAAAAAGACGTCGGACATCACACTGTAGATCCACAGAATTGATCAGAATGTTGTGAGGTGATTCTGTTTTCTGAAAGGCTGGGTCTCCAAACCAAGTGCCTCCATCGCTGCTCCTGCTTGACTGATTCCCCAGATCAAGAGGTTCAAGACGATTGGTTGCTGGAATTAGGATACCTAAAGGGATATAAGCATGGATTGAATGGGCAAACAAACACCCCTGGCCCAAGGAGTCTATCATGGCCTTCTTTCCGTTTTGAGACGGCCGATTTAGGAACCCTTTGTCTCAATTAGAGACACACACACAGTATTCCTACCTGGTGGAGGAATCAATTGCCCACCGAGTTCTTCTACTCCGATACTCACTGCAGAGCACTGGGAACCAGCAAAACAGGGGCTACCGTGGAGAGACAAGACAGGCGCACTGGTCACAAACGGCGACCAATAGCTGACATATGGGGGATGCTCAACAGGACGTATACAGCTGATACCCTCAAGAAGGTGTCCATCTCCAATGAATCATAGACAACCTGCCCTACTTTGTGTGATCACTATGCAACTTTTGGGCATGAGCTGAGCATCCCCCGCATGATCCTCTTGCTTGCTAGTTGGCTTGCCTCCGGGCTTCTTGAAGAGAGATGTACTGTAAGCGCCGCAACAGCCTTATATAAATGTCCACATACCCCCGTACGATACGTACATTTCCCTGGAGCACACATTATGGTGCAACGCAGATATGTTCTGGGTACGCTATTGTGATCAATTGCAGGATATGTGGATGTTCACAATCGAGAATGGAGCTCGACGACTCCCCCTGCAGCTCTTCTTCCAAGCTGTGAAAACAGCACTCCGAAAGTTGGAAAAGAAATGGCACCCAAACTCCATGTCCAACAGTTCAGCAATATTTCTGCTCTTCAGTTTCATCGAAGTGGTCAAGTCGTGCCCCTCTTCGCCCTCCTTCACCAGTGCGCGGGCACTGGCCCTAGCTCCACTCCACTCTCCCTCGGGTCCCGCCGCGGCTGGCGCGACCGCCGCACGCGGCGCTGGGCGCTGCGCGACCTCGCGGAGAGGAGGCGGCGAAGGCCACGGAGCAGGAGGTCCTCCAAGCGAAGGAGGAGACCTCCTCCCTTCACGGTGAGCGTCCTGGTCGACCCGATCGAAACACACGCGATTCGGTCCCGGTCCCCACGGTCGGTCGGTCGTGAGAAGCAGCGAACGCGAACACCAAGACCAGCGAATCGAAGGCGAAGACCTGTTTCAGACCTGAAGGATATCCAGGCCCAACCACATTGGTATGTAAAGGATCAATCAAGAAAAAAGTGGCTGTGGCTGTGGCCATGGCTCAAAACTTTTTTTTTCGGACCCGGGGAGAGTCTCCACGGGACAATGAAAAGAACAAATGACCGGGGAGGTCAAGCTACCACGGATCAGGGGTTCTAGAGTTTGACTCACGACCATATTGGAACAACCAGCAAACCCAGACACTCCATGTATGCCATATATGCCTACATTGACCCCGCAAAACCACCCCAATGTAGGCATATATGGCATACTGGAGAGTCTGGGAAATATCATTTAAGGTCATCCAATGTGATCCAAAGACCAAGCTGCTAAACATCTGCACCTAAAGGATATATATATAATTAACTGCTCCTGACTTGTGCTATGCACTATCGTCCTAAACTTTGTTCCCAAGAAATACTATCCTTCGACCACACCTGGTGACAGTTAGAAAAGTTGAAACAACCAACGCCCATCACTTGCCCAAACCATCCAAACTACAAGTACAAATCATACAATATCACATGTATATAAAACAAAAATAATGAACTATATATATAGAGTACTATAAATAGTGCTGTTGTTTTAAATACTGGAACCTCCAAACCGGCCTATCACCCGTCCCCCCCTTTAGAACAACTACCATACACAAACCGCCGACCGTGCGTGCTGTGCCGTGCCTCGCGTGGTGACGGTAGGTCTCGAAGAGGCGTCGCACCCAGCTCTTCGTCGTCTCGCTGTGCCATACCACGGGCGTCACGTGGAAGAGGCGTGCTGAGCGTGTCCACGCGCGCTGCTCGGTGTTGGGGAGGTCTTCCAAGAGCTTATAGGCCTGGAGTACGTGAGGTGTGGTTCAGTGAGGTACAGTGACGTTGGAGAAGTGGCATGTTGGAGATGTTTATGCAAAATTGGGCAAGGTGCTTTGAAGGGACTGAGCTGGGGAATCTGATTGGCCCAGATGAAAGCTGGGATCAAATATAGATTCTATTACAATCCAGAATAAGACGTCTCAGGCTTTCAGAAAAACATCACACAAGTGCCGAGCGCTCAAGATCACACGAGCCCGTTCCCGTTCCAAGAGCAGCTCTTTCACTGCCTGCAGCATCACGTCTCCCTGCATCATCTGCAAATGGAGGAAGAAGCCCAAAGGGACCTCGGCAAGATAGCTGCGTGTCGAAAGCCTCTCTTGTTGATGAGGACATTAAGGCCTTGCTCTCATTCTCATAGGACTTGCATAAGCTATCAAGCATTTCAACAAACATACAATGACACAACAGCTCAAGAGGTCCTTGTCGATTTTGGGGGGAACAACTTGCAGGTCTGGGTGAGGCTGAAGTGAACCGAATCGCCGGTTCATTGTGCCCAACAAGGGCCACCTGCCCCCGTTGAGAGGAGGGGTCCCTGGTTGGTCCCAGGTGGTGTCACTCAGGGGTACAACTTGGCAGATACAAGTGGCCTCTCTATCAATGAAGGCTAAATTTGATTTAGCAAAACTCTTCCTGTGCACTACCCTTTCCGTTCGCCTCTGAATACAACGTCAGTCCAAAAAAAAAAAGACCCACCGGCCATCGACGTCTTGTTGATGGCCCGAGGAGCGATGAGGAAGATTGCCCAGGTATGTCTTCCCTGAAGGTCAAAAGGACAGCCCGAAAGCGGTGTTTCGTCCCCGTACCCAAAGGCACCTGTGTCACCTGTGGCACCTGGTCGCTATATCTTGGTTGCACTGGACGTTTTACGATGCCCATGGAGAATCTTAAGAAACCGCCCCCGCCCCAGGGTCTAAACGGTGGATGAAACCGGTCATGTCCGGGTTCAAAGAATAGAGATCGCTGTTGTCCAAGAATGTCACGTCATGACTGATCGTCTGCAGCCCCACGTGTCCACACACCCCCCGCCCAATGTCGACAACCCCCCCCAGGTGTCCGAAGATGACGTTGAAACTGTCGTCGGACAGCGCCTTTCCAAAGAGATAAAGCACAAAGGAGAAAGCAGCCAAGCCTTGGTGGAAAACAAACACGGTCTGCACAACGAGCCGGTTTGCACAGACATGTGTGTGTGTGTGTGGGTTTGTTGCTTTTGTTGTTTTGCTGCACTTTTTTCCTTGAAGAAATAACAGATCTAGATTTGCTTTGGAGTTTCTGGTATGTTTCAACACACACCCTCAAGTATGTCTGGGATTCCATTGGTTTATCTTGATGATTCAGAACCTTCTGAGTGCTGGGAGTTTCTCTGAAAGCTCGAAGTGATCTGAGGCTGCATGACTCAGGAACAAAAAAAGCACGAAGCAGGCACCTGCGGAATCTTGAGTTCCAGGTTGGAGGGGAATGTTCAACATTGCTACTAACCTTCAATCACCTTCATGCAACACGTGCATTCATATCCATCCATATATGCATCCATCCTCCTCTCATTGGGGTTGAATGCAAGCTAGGTCCTTTCAAA